GGTGGGCGGGGCAGAGGAGGCACCGCAGCTCCTCGGGGCCTGAGTCATCATCTGCGAAGGCCGCGGCTCGTGGCTCTTCCTGGCGTTTAGCTCGGGCCCTGCTCAGCGCCTGCTCCGGGAGCATCCCGGAGGCACCGTCCCATGGGGAATGCTGCTTCCTGGGGCTGCCCGGCGCCTTTGCAGCGTGACGTGCTGGGAGATGCTGCTCTCTGCAAAGCCCTTCTGGAGGCTCTGCCTCGAGTTAAGGCCCCTAGAGAGCAAAGCAGACAGAGTATCAATCAGTAGAGATGACCCCAAAATGGAATCTCTGCCACTGAGCTCAAAACAACTTCCAGGGCACAATATTTTGCCCCTGTTACCCCTGCACACAAGCACAGGGGCAGGTGCCCAGGTCTTCGGAGCTGCTCCTTGGGCAGCTGGGACACGCTTTGGAAGCAGGGATGGGGCTGCCCTCCCTGCTTGGCAGGAAGTGGCATCTCCCGTGCCAGTTGCTTGGAATTGAGATTCCAAACATGGAGCCCTCTGCCTGGCTGGGGAATTCCAGCCCAAGCCGTGATGTGGGCAAAGGGACTGTGCCCCGAGAGCCCCCGGGGCAGGTTTCTCCCTCGCGAGCCAGTTGGCCGCTCGCAGGCCCCATCCTCTTGCCCCACGGATCCCCTGCGCCGGCCGCGGGTCCCGTTAGCGAGCAGCCCTCCTGCCAGGTGCCAGGAAGCTGGGAAGCGCTCTAGGATGATGAGCAACTGCCTCTGCGCAGCCCCCGTGCGCGTGTGAGTAACCGAGTCTGCTGCAGGCAGGAGGGGGTGGCCAAGAGGACGGTTTGTGTGGGCCGTGCAGCAAGCCCCAGTGGCAGGGCTGGATGCATTCCCGGCTCTCGGACCACTGGCCTCTGCTTTTCCATCCGGAACCGCGTTGTTGGCCGTCCGCGCGAGTGTCAGAAAGGGAGCGCTTTGCATCTCGTGTGAAATACAAGTACTCGTGGAGCTTCCCGTGTCCTGCGTGAGGAGCTGCCGGCTGCTCCCAGCTCTGAGCTCTCTGGAGGGAGCCAGACCAGGGCCCTGCTGGAGCCCCACGGCTGCGCGTGGAGCGGCTGGAGGTGCCACCAAGCGCCCTGGGGTGGGCTGCCACCCTGCTCGTCACCTGCTGCCCACGGAGCCCCTAAAGGGTTTGTTTCTCTGGAGGTTTCTTGCTCTGGTGAGCCCTCAGTGCCCGTCCGGGTGCTGTTGGCCGAGCAGACGC